TTTCTTACTGTCAAAAGCTACAAAATACAGATTTTAAATAGTCTTAGGTTATAAGTTATGCATACATTTGGTGGAATTCTGTTTCCAGGTTAGATGGATTATCTAAAACCAGAAAACAACTATAAAACCTGGTTAAAACCCAGAAATAATCAGTTTGAAGCAACAGACAGCAGATGATATAAAAAGACCTGAAGAGACTAAGATTCCTGAAAACGAGAATCCTTGGAGCTGTGAACTGACTACTATGATCAGTTTGCCCTGAGGACATTTGCAAAGTCTAAGAATAGACAAAAGCTCCTGCCAGAGACAGAGTAACTTCAATAGCCTTTAGCAAACTGGAAGATTCAAACTTGAGGCCAGTTTTTCCCCTCAGAATACTTGTTAAATTCAGGGACATTTCAGGGAAGAAGGCTAAAAATTTCAGTGGAAATTTTCTGAGAGCAGATTGAAGTTTTAGTAATCATAATGCATAAAGATTAGAGTTTGGGATCTGCCATGGGGAAGACTGTGGAGAACACACTGAATTCTGAACTGAAAATTCTGGAAAGCCAGGTGCTTATTATCAGGACTGCAAAGAACTTTGACTAAGCATAGTGCCTGTTTGGATTAAGGCAATTTGATTAGATGTGACTCTATCAAAGTTAACAGAGGAAAAGGTGAACTCTTTCTGGAAGAAGATAATATCATTTGGATCCTAGACAGCTTTTTACATTAACATTCAGTATTCATTAAAAAATCAGTACACACACACACACGAAATGAATAAAACCTAGAGGAAAAAACAGACAATACAGATGACCTATCGATAAAGTAGATACTAGAATTTACTGACAGTGATGTTAAAGTAAGTATGATTAATATGTTAAAATAAGGAATACAGAAAATAGGTAGTAGAGAATTTCACCAGAGAGTGGAATAAAATGGAAATTAAATCTGGAACTGAATAATATAATACCTGAAATTAAAAACTATCAGATGGTGTAATGGCATAGTAGTTGTAAAGGATTACAGGATTAATGCATGCAAGACAGGCCAATATTAAGTATCAAAATAGAAGCATAGGGGAATAAAATAATTAAAAATACAGACAAGAACATTTAGTGACATGTGGAACATAATGAAAATCTCCAACGTACATATGATTGTAATCCTAGAAGGATTAGGAATGGGGAATGAACAATGTTTAAAGAAATAATGACCAGGAATTTTCCAAAATTGGTGAAAAAATTTTACCCCTCAAGATGCTCACTGAAACCCAATTAAGGGAATAAAAAACAAAGCACACCTAGGAATATCATAGGAAGTCCACTAAAGACCAAAATCAAAGAGAAAACCTTAAAAGCAACCACATGAAAATGACACATTGCCTTTAAAGGAACAACAATAAAATGGAGAGCTAACTTATAAACATAATCAAGAAACCAAAAGACAAAGGAATGATGTCTTTAGGCTCCTGAAAAAAATAATAACTACCAGACTAGAATTCTATCACCAGAAAAATATATCCTTCAAAAATGACGTTTTCAAACAAACAAAAACTGAGAATTAAGCACAGTCACATCTGCACTAAAAGAAATGTTTTCACTGGAATTCATTAGGCAGAAGAAAAACAGTCCTGAAGGAATCGCAGATCTACAGGAAGAAATGAACAAGAATAAGGGTAACTATAAACTGATATAATTGAATATCAATTATTAAAGACAAAAATAGTTTCTTAAAGGATTTTATATATATATAGAAATTTATATATATAGAAATTTATATATATTTATATATATTACTTATATATATATATATAAATATATATATAATTTAATTCATGACAAAAATGTAAAAGGCATGTGGTATAGAATTAAGGAATTCTAAGGTTCTAAGCATTATTATGGGAGTAGAAAAATTAAATAATTTGTGTTAGACTCTTGTAGGTCAGAGATGCATACTGCAATTTCTAGGATAATCACAAGAAGAATAATTTAAAAAGTAATTGAAGGAAAGAGAAAAATTAGAAATAAGATTCTAAATAATCAAAGAGAAGAAAGAAACTTTAGGGACAAATACAAAAAAATAGATGTAAATATAAGTGGAAAGATATCAAATATTACAATACTTGCAATTGGACTCAGTAATCCAATTAAACAACCAAACCTGTCAGACTAGGTTTAAGGAAAATTCAATGATATGCTATCAGATAGATGTGTGTTATCACAGAAAGTTTAAAAATTTAAAACTAAAAAAGGTATATAATATAAACATTAACCAAAATAAACTGAGCGTAGCTCTACTCACATAACACAAAGGAGACTTCAAGGAAAGATGCATTACTAGAGACAAAAAGTGATACTTCATAATGATAAAGAGTTACGTATACTAGAAATGTGTAAGTTCTAAGAATGAATATATCCATGTAAAATAATTACAGAATATATAAGGTTAAATTGAAAGAACGTAAGTGAGAAATAGACATATCCCACAGTCATAGTAACATATGTAACACAACTCTCTCAATCCCTGATAGAATAAGAAGACACACAGAGAGAGAATATTAAAAATCTGAACAACATAATAATTATATTTGAGTAAGTTGACATACATAGTATATTGGAGAATATACATTCTTTCTGTATGCATATGGCATATATCAAAATTATCCATATTCTGGATCAAAAAGCAACCCTCAAATTTCTTTTAAAGAATTGAAATGACTCAGTATAGTTATTTACAGTCAAATTAAGGCAGAAGTAAAAATTTAACAAGATATCCCCAAATGCTTCAAAACTATGTAATATA